AACTTGATGGTGACTACACACAGGGCATTTGTAGTTTTGAGAAAAAGTTTGAGACCAATCCGACACTAAAAAGCACATGGACCTCAGAATCCCAGAGAACCTAGGTGTATAGATAGGGTTCGACGAAAGGTTCTATATACCTCTGTGAAGCACGTCGACTCCACCTATGTTGAAATGGCTTAAAAAATTTTAGCAGTCATTTACACCCAAAATATGGCCCCACACAAGATCTTAGGCTTTTCTGATAATTATTTTTATTATTACATTTTTCTTTGTGCCGTGTGAGACGAAATACGGCGAATTACATATTCAAAACAATATAATTTTGCATCAACCTCCACAAATATTTGTCTCCTAGGGCACAAGAGACCATTTGGCAAAGTTTGGCATCATTCCGGATCTTTTTGGTGGTGGACTCAGTTCAACGTATAATTAATCGGTGAAGTCGCGTGGAAATTCAATTAAAGTGAAAAAATTACCAAACCAATTCAGAAAAATCTCGAACTTGGCGGTGGCTTCACACTGGGCATTTGAAACCCTGATAAAAATTATGAGATCAATCAGGCACTAGAAAGCACATGGACCAGAAAATTCAAAGTATAGTTAACAAAAGAATATAATCAATTAAATGGTCTTTTCTCTTATTAAATAAATGTTTGGGTGCTTTCTTGTCGAGAAAGTGACTTAGTTCAGATGGCTAGCTAGTGTGCTGCGGTTTGGACCTTGGCTGTGAGGTCGTGGGTTCAATGTCTGGCTGCCATATTTTTTTTGTCCAGCGCGATTATATTATTTTATCAAGAAAGATTTTATCCCGGTTATAGCCCAGAACCGGGACTAAAGGTCATCCTTTAGTCTCGACTGGAGCCTCAAGCCGGGAGTAAAGATTTATTCCCGGTTGGAGGGTTCAGCCGGGACTAAAGGATAACCTTTAGTCCCGGCTCTGGGCTATAACCGGGACTAATTGTTGTCTGCCGTCGTCACACACTTGGGACAGGAACTTTGTATCCTTGTTTGAGGATACAACCGGGACTAATAGTCCTTTTAGTCCCGAACACAAAAATACCAGGATTAAAGGAAAAAATAGAGGCAGGATGAAATGTTTGTTTTCTAAGTAGTGGCAGTTCTAGCTGGCGCAGGGGCCTGTGCGGTGGTGGATGGCCTCGCTCGGCCGGCCTCATCGCAGCGCTGTTGGCTAGCGGGGGGCTGCGGAGGTGGCTCGCCCACGCGCGGGTGGACGATGGCCGGCGGCGGCTGCATGGTGGAGCAGCATGCTGCGCGGGCGTGTACGCATGCAAAGAGACTCACAGGCGCGTGCGTATTCATGTACTCAGCCCTGCCGGCTGTATACGCGGTGGATAATCTCGTGCATGCACGCACGGCCTCTCTGTCTGACAGCATGTATTCAGTACTCGTACACTAGCAACCGCTCTTCGTTCTCCTTTGCAGTAGCCCACCCAGGCCGACGAGGCCGCTTGTGGTCGAGCCGGGGCAGGAACGCCAGCTCCGATCGGAACGCGCTTTCCTTCTCCTGGAACCGGCGCGCACGGGGCCCACAAATCGTCGCGCTTGATGGCCACCTCGCGCTCGTCGGGGAGCCTGCCCCGTACACGGTGCCGAAGCCCTTGGTGACCGCCTCCAGCTGCTCGAAGGTGAACTCGGCGGGGCGGGGGTCCTTGAACGACGACGGCTCCTGCGCTCGTCGTCTCGTGTGACAGCTGCTGGCCGAAAATTTGTGCTGCTGCCAGAACAAGCTGCACGCTCGCGGCCTGTTCGAACTCCCAGCCACCAGTGCCGGCCCTAGGGCAGGGCGGACAGGGCAACCGCTCTAGGCCCCCTCAAGCTAGGGGCTCCCTTTTGTATACGTATTAGTATTTCCACAAAGCTAGACAGCTCGCACAAGTAGTAGCATAGCAAGTATATATACCTAGTAGATCAATACGCCAAGAGAATTCATGAGACTGCATGACCAAACTAGAGGTGTAACAAAAAATGAAACTAGAGAAGTATAAATAACTAGCATCGAGATTAGTTTATTCCTTCCATTGAAAAGTATGTAGGAGAAATAATGATCAAATATATTGTTAAGCATTTTTGTTTGCTAAAGACATGTTAAGTATTAGCTTCAGATTTGAGAGAAAAAATATTGCACGTATATATTAGGTATGGGCCCTCACTTTTCTCTCTCGCCCCAGACCACCATAATGCCAGGGCCGGCCCTGCCAGCCACGGCACCTCCATCCTGCGTCGTTGTCGTGCTTGTTGTCAGCACCCGCTTGTTGCTGCAGAAGCCAAAGACGAGGCAGTTGGGCAGTTGGCGATGGAGCAGAGCCCGCACTCACCGCGCCGACGACGCCAAACGCGATCCAGGCTTTGGACGCACGCCTACTCGACGACGACGCCGGAGACGGAGGCGGCGAAGGGGTGGGGAAACAAGCGTCCGCGGCAGAGGGCATTGCAGATCCCGCCGGTCTTCGGGTCTTGGCAGCGCAGCGTTGGCGGGCTAGGACTACAGGCCCTTGGGCCGCGATGACACCTGAGGCGGCGGTGTCGGCGCTGGACGCAGGCACGCAGTGGCGGAGGGAAGGGGGGGGGGGGCTGAGGGGGGCCTGGCACCCCCAACCTTCCCTCCCATAATACACCCCCTAAATTAGGTGCTTAAGTATCTAATTAGCTAGTTAATGATACTATTAATACTATAATTTTTTTGTTCTTACTCCATACTAATATCTATTAGTATTTTAGATAAATAAAAATTAGGTCTTTCTAATATTTTCTCCATATCTTTTTTTGTTTTCGTTATTGCTTATCAAACATTAATTTGTCCCCATACCATACACTCTAATTAGCTAGTTAATTGAAATCCATGCTTTTTCTTGTTTAATCCTTCAGAATTGATCTTCGATTGGCATTAGCGAGTTTGGTCAATATTTAAAATTTGAATGCTATATAGTGGTATGATGTTTCCGTTTAATCGTCTACCGTTTAAGTGATCGTTTTGTCCGAGGCTAAACGACAAGTGACCGATTGTTTGCCATTTAACATTTAGGATCCAGTGCTAATTAGTTTTTGCCTCGTTTAACTACTTGTTATTACCGTAATTCTTTTTTTGGTCAAAGAATTAGATTGATCGGGTAAAGGTTAGAGGCCTGAGGCTAATTAAACTCCCTTCATTTTTTTAGTTTTTTTAGTTTTCTTTTGTATCGCAACGTAAACGTTTATTTGTGTGTTATGTACATCTTTGTCGCGTGTATACATTTTGACATGCATGATTGTTGCCGGTTTGCACAGCCCCCCCCCCCTATGCTTAAATCCTAGCTCCGCCCCTGCAGGCACGGGAGCTTGCAAGTCGTGGAGTAGGGCGCTGCAGATGCCTGACAGCTGGGCCAAAGTGTCCATGTGCGTCAGCATGGACCAACAGTACCGCCACATAAGCAAAACCAGGGTCCAAAACCACCTCAAGGGGTTATATGCACGGTTTGAAGATGTTCGAGGGCTAGAATACATGGTTTTATAGTTTAAGAGGTGAAGTAGACACTCTACCAAACGTCCGGAGTCTATGTAGACTTTTTCTATTTATAGATTGAACAAAAGTAAACATGTCAGCAAAAAGCTATGGGCACAGATAGTTGGTTTCAAATGGTACCTACTTGCTCATGAATGGCAATGTGTGTTCAGGTCTTCAGGATCATCCAGCCTCTCACCACAGTCCGTTAGTTTCCTGAGATAGGAGAAACACCGTGCAATGGCACTTAATTATTCAGGTGATACGTTGAGTGCCAATGTTATTTATATACCCGTTCTAAATTATTGTTCGCTTGATCGTTTCGCTTCCACCATCAATCGATCGATCACCTCCAAGGATTTAGGCATTTAGCTGCTCGGTTCGCTCACCAAGCGTTCTTGTGTTGCAAAGCAGCAAGCAGACGAGAGGCGCAGCGCGACAACTCGATCGAGTCGCCGGTGCCGGCGCGTGCAGGGACCCAAAGCAAAACAAAGGCGGAGGAGGAGCTACGTAGCTACAAGCGCGGGGATGGGTCACCACCACGGCGGTGGCGTAGGCTGCTGCTGCGAGCTCTGCGGCGCACCCGCGGGCGTGCACTGTGCGTCGGACGCGGCCTTCCTCTGCGACGCCAAGGTGCACGGCGTCAACTCCCTCTTGTCGCGGCACCGCCGCACGCGCCTCCTCCTCTGGGTCGTGGGATCGCCGGCGCCGGTGCCGGACAAGGACGGGTACGAGTCCGCGGCGACCTCCTACGTGCCCATAAACCGACTTAAGCGGCGTCGTCATGGGCGCCAAGGGCGGAGGCGCATGGCATGCGCCGGCCACCGGAGCGGAACCCGAGCTCGAGCTTTCGCACGCAGCCGATGCGGTGCTCTCTCTCTCGCCACGCCTCGACCCTTATAAGAAATGAGACATGCCATCCCGATTTGAAACATATAAGAGTCGTGGCATTCTCCGCATTACCTTGCCCTATCTTCACGCACTCAAGGATGAATCTGTGATAGTATACTTTATATCCTAAATCTGGAATCTAATCTTTCATGACGTGAATATATGCTAGTATACTTTTTATCTGGAATCTATTCTTTCATGACGTGAATATGTGTGATGTTAGTGAACTGACAGAGTGAGCTGTAAATGTAGAAAAAAAGATCCATCTGCGAGTGGTTCGGCTTTTTCCTGAACAAAGACGGAGCCGTCGAGGGGTGGGCCAAGCGGACGGGCCTCGCGTCGGGGTCGGAGGCACGCCGGCGCGCCGCTGCGGCCGCGCGGGTGCTCTTGGCCTGCGCCCACGACCTCGCCTCCACGCGCGTCGCCAGGCCGCCGCACTGTGGCGGGAGGTGGCGGGGCGCGGTAGGATCGGCGGCGGGGGCGGGGGCGGGGGCGGCCTCGGCGAGGCGCTGCGGCGCCTGGAGGCGTGCGCGCGTGCCAGCGAGGCCTGTGTTGGCGGTGGCCACGTCGCAGGCGCGTGCCCGCGCGCGCAGGCGGGAGGGCCGCCATGGGCGCCAATCTTCGCGTCGGACCGGTGGAGGGGCCCTGCGGCCGAAAGCCTAGCTGCGCAGTCAGGCTGCCACCCTCGCTGTCGCGGGTGACGAGCGAAAATTCGAATCCATATACTCTCCCGCTGCAGACGGGCCCCACGCCGTCAAAAATTGGACGCTCCCGCTCCCGCTCCCGCTCCCTCGATCTTTTGGGTTTCGTTTTCCCACCGCCCGACCGCCGCGTCCGCTCTGCCATGTTTTCACATTTGACCGATCTCCTTCGATTCGATTTGTACATCCCCAGAGTCTCCAGACTCCAGAGCTCTCACTCTCCTGCCAAATCCCCTCGTCTCCCGATCCTAGAGAGCATCAGCAGCAGCTACCGCAGCCCCTGCCATGGCGCCGAGCTCCCCGTCGCCCGCCGCGCCCACGCGCGTCTCCGGCAGGAAGCGCGCCGCCAAGGCCGAGGAGATCCACCAGAACCAGGAGGAGGAGGAGGAGGAGGCTGTGGCGTTGTCCTCCGCCAAGCGCAGCCGAAAGCCGGGTAGGAAGCCCAAGCCGACGCCCAAGCAGGCCAAAGCAGGCCAAAGCGGCCAAGGCGGCCAAGACGGGTAGGAAGAAGAAGGGGGAGGCCGAGAGGAATGAGCTCGTGGAGGACGATGTGTGCGCCGAGGAGCTCGACGAGGAGGAGTTGGCCATGGGCGAGGAGGAGGCGGAGGCGGAGGCCGATGAGCAGGCCATGCAGGAGGAGGTGGCCGCGGTCGCTGCCGGGTCGCCCGGGAAGAAGAGGGTGGGGAGAAGGAGCGCCACCGCTGGCGGCGACCACGAGCCGGAATTCGTCGGCAACGCCGTCCCTGCGGCCGAGGCGCGCAGCAACTGGCCTAAGCGCTACGAGCGCAGCACTGCCGCAAAGAAGTAATTTTTCCCTCCCTACTCTGCTTTGCTTTTATTCGATCCCAGATGTTTGCTCCCTGTTGTGACTTGTGAGCTGAGCAATCCCCTGTTTATTGATTCATGGCGTGTGCAGGCCGGAGGAGGACGAAGAGCTCAAGGCCAGGTGCCACTACCGGAGCGCTAAAGTGGACAACGTCGTCTACTGCCTCGGGGATGACGTCTATGTCAAGGTCCTTGTTCACCGCTTTCATTGCCTTCTTTATTTGCCATGATGCTGTTGCTGCTCTCATTTATGCTCTGCTCATGTATTTGTTAATGGAGCAAGACTTGTTTGATTTTTGTTGTCCATTTCCAATGATGAGTTGTCAGCAGTACATCATGGTACGCTGGAAGTCTGGATGTCTCTATGTACAAAATACTGCCTGGTAGCATATTTGTCATCCATCAGGAGCTTGCTTATGACCTCTGTTTGGAAGTCTGAGCTGCTTGGGTGCTTTGTGCAGCAAGCTCGGCAATGATGACGAGTTTTGGCCGCTTATTAGTTTGTAGTTCCGTTCTTTTTTAAATCGAGGGTTAGTTGTGCTCTATGATGGTATAATTGTGACTGTGATCATATAATTGCCATGGAAGGAAGCATTGAACTTTAAAATCAATCCCTAGTTATGCATATTTAACAAGTGGTTTATGGTTACTTCCAATGATCATGAGTAGAACAAGATTTGGTCGAACCTTAAAAACTACAAACATCAATAAGTATTACATTATTTAGTTTGAAAACGTGTAAGTTTCATGTGTTGATTTGTATTCAATATACTTGCAAATCTCTTATATTGGAAGGGTTATAAGAATATATTCTAAAAGAAATTAGTGGTCAAAGATACGCATGTAAGATTGCAAGGTCAAATACTCAAATGTGTGAAGTATCTGTGACTAGAGGGAGTATAACATAAAGGGGTGCTCTAAATGTCTGTCTCTACACAATGCTGTGTTTGGTGTATAGCCTGCTCCCAAAAGCTGGATCCTTTTGATTCTGTTGAAAATGCACTGTTCAACAATTTCAATCCCTAATGTTAAGAGGATGTTATTTTTAATAACAAAAATGCTGCTTAACCCTGCATCTATTTTGCATGTGCTAGTGATTGCTTACATCCTGTTATGATCTCTGAGATTATTTGAGATTTTTCTTGTCTTATTTGCCTGTTTATGAGAGGGAAGTGTTGTTTGTGTCTTAAATTTTAGTTTCATGAAAGTTCTTAGTAATTCAACTGAACATAAACATTGGTGCTGCAGTGAACAAGAATGCTCAAAATAATGGTTGTGTACAATACCACTGGATGATTTTGCTCTCACATCACATCTTTTTATGTTCTTTAATAATAGATACTGAATTTTTATGATTCTTTTTGCCTATCTTAGGCTGGAGAAAATGAGGCAGATTACATTGGCGGATTACTGAATTTTTGAGGGACTGATCGGTGTCACTATTTTACTTGCCGTTGGTTCTTCCGTGCAGAGGACACTGTGCGTATTGAGCTTTGTGTCATTTCTATTCATGTCAAGAGGTAGCATAGAACTTTAAAACACTAACATATCAGTGCAGGTTATCAATTCTTTGGTGTCCATTAATGTTGATGGCCACAAGCATGACCCTAGACGTGTTTTTCTTTCTGAGGAAAAGAACGACAATGTGCTTGATTGCATCATCTCCAAGGTCAAGATAGTCCATGTTGATCCAAATGTAAGTTCCCTGCCGAGAGCTTTGTGATTTTGCTATGCACATAAAGTTTCTCACTACATTTTTTTTGGCCTTAGATGGATCTAAAAGCCAAGGCTCAGCTGATAGAGCACTGTGACCTATACTATGACATGTCGTACTCTGTTGCATATTCTACATTTGCTAATATCTCATCAGGTAATTGCTTCCACATCATCCTGTTTTGGTTGACTAGCTGAATGCAATTTACTTGCTTTGCTAAATTAGTGCGACGTTACTACTTACCAAATAGCTTTTTTCCCCTAATGCCTGTTACAATATTTGTATGCTATATATCCCCCTCTGTCCCAAAAGGAATGCAATTCTAGGTTCTGGATAAGTCAAACTTTTCTAAGTTTGACCGAGTTTATAGGAAAAAAAATCAACATTTACGTCCCCAATTAGGTTTAATATGAAAATATATTTCAAAATCAATGCAGTGTACTTATTTGACATCATCAATATTAGTGTTTTTTTTTGTATAAAGTTAGTTAAATTTGAAGTTGTTTGACTCCTTGGAAAGTGAGAATTGCATTCTTTTTAGGAGAGGACACAATCATCTTCCAGTAATATTGAAGGATACTGAACTGTCCACCTTAGGCATATCTGTCTCAACTTTTGATTTTGGCTACCAGTCATCCAACTTTTAAAATGAGCTTATGAAGAAGCCAAAAGCAGGCCTAGAGGTGCTTTCCCTGTCTTTTGTGAGATTAGCGATAACAATGTGTATATACCTGTACGGTAGTACCATTCCATACTCACACCCACTAGATAAAATTCTATTTGCCATACTTGCGCAACATGTACCCAAATGTATACCTGTTACAAACAAAAAATCCTAAATATATCATATCATTTAAATCATATATAGCGTCAAGTTTTTGTAAACAGAAACTGATAATGATAACATAGCAACAAAACTTCACCAATATAGTGTATTAGTTATAGATCTATTGGATACATGCATATTTCATAGTTGGGTTGGGTTGTGAGTGTGTTTTGGCTATCTTTGGGCTGACTTAATGAGATCACATATATGGCCGAGACGACCCATTAACATACTCCCTCCGTCCGGGAAAAGATGCAATTGTAAGAACAGGGGCGTGTCCAACAAAGAATGCAATTGTAGACCTCGTGGGCTACAAGCTACTAGCTACAAAGCTAGTAGTTGCGAGCCCGATCCTCGTGAGTCGTGAATGCAAAGCCGGCCTCCCTTGTCCACTCGTCCGCACTCTAGCGTATTTCAATTTAAAAAAAAAGAGAAACCTTATCTCCCAGGAGGTCCAGAGCTCGGGACCTACTTTCTTACGGTGCCGTCACCACCGCTGGCGGCACGGAGACCGACGATGCCGCACGATGAGCTTCCGGCCCCCGGAGATGACACACACGTGGTGGAGCAGCAAGCACATCTCTGAGTCCCATCACCTCACTGCGCCTCTGTCGTGCCCATCTCCCGGCGAGCTCCGCCATGGCCGCGCAAGTGGTGGCTTCTTGGCGAGCTCCGGCAAGGGCGCGCGAGTGGTAAGCTCCGCACCGGCGAGCCGGCAGTGCAGCAGTTGCACGCGTCCGCCGCGGCCGGCCCGGACGCTTCCGTCGGGCACGGGTGTTCCGACACCACCGCCCTCAAGAACCCGCGCCCCACTGAGCCGCCGCCTCGCGAGACGTCCATGGGTGCCACTGCCGCCGCCGTTCGAGGGTGACGCGACGTGGGTCCGCGGCTACGCGCAACGTCTCCGGTGCCCTCTCCAAAACGCTGGTGCTCCCCACCCTGCCACAATCCTTCCAGACGCCGGCATGGTGAGCCTTCGGACGGCGCCGACATGGTGCTATCGGCCTCGACGATGGTCGCGCAGCCGAGTACGGCGGCATGCATGAGACTAGGTGCCGGGTGGGCTGAGGAAAAGCAGTAGTAGCTGTGGAGTGCACTCGCAAGCAAGGTAGTGGACTTCAATGGTTCATGGTTGAGTGAGAATCGGAAGCGGAGAAGAAGGTAAATAGTCCAATGGCCAGCACAGCCTTGTTGTCTCATCTCAGTGCGCAAGAGCGACGTGACCCACGGGAGAGTGAAGGCCTTGATTTGCGTGCGTAGTGCGCTTGGGAGATAGGGAAAGTAGGGCTAAACACGTAATTTTGCTTTGTCGCTGGCTCCTCCTCGGTAGTGCAGATTGCATTCTTTCCCGGACAGAAGAGTACCTTCGTTTGAAGAAGCCTTCCATATCCGCTTTTTATTGAGGAAAACTCGTCAGCACTTGGGTTTTGGGTATCCATTATCATCCCTGTGTGAGATATTGTTTTGAGGGGTATTGTGTGTATTAGATATTTATTCATTCAAAGCTAATCTACAAAAACAATTTTTAAAAGTAAAAAGCTCAAACAAACATGCGTTTACTCCATCAGCCTAGGTTTATTGGGTTAACTTTTAGTGCATGCAATGTTGAAGTATAAGTAGAATTGCACATCTTTGCCTAATAGCTTAAGCTTTTAGTTTGAACTGGTTGGTGCATGCAACTCAACACTCAATATGGTATCAGTGCTAGAGGTGAGAAGTCTTGAGTTTGAATCCTGGCAAGTGCAATAAAATAAAATAAATGTAGTTGACCTCTATTTCCATAGTATTTGAGGTGTGACTGAGCCTGCAAGGGAGGGAGATTATTGAAGTATGAATGAGCTGTCCATCTTTGGCGCAAAAGTGGTGGGGCCACGGCCTGATCTTGTGCCAAAATTAACACTATGTCGGAATGGATTGAAATGAGCTCCAACATGGCTCATGATGCCTAATTTGTGTGCGGCCGGAAAGACTTCCAAGCATGCGATATAGTCAGCGCGTATCATGGCCTGATCTTGCGCAGAAGATGATCACCCAACGCTATGAATGATGAGTTGCCGGTCATCTTGGTCGCCTTCCTTCGTGACTTTCTTCTGGAAGTAGAGCACTGTTGCCTTCAACTCTCCGCTCCTTGCTTCATTTGCCTTTCCATGTCTGTCTTTTGCAAGCCTGCCCAATAATCAAGAAAGGAGCACATCATATAGATAATCTTAGAGGGAGATTTGGTTCTTTTGTCCTCAAAACAAACAACATGTCTTGTGCACCATATTGCTTGACAAAGAGCTGCCAGCCCCACTACATATACCGGTTTACCATTCGGTAAACAAAGCTTGATCCAAACCCAAAACTGATCAATATTACAAGGTCTGCAACTGAATCCAAGGGTACAACAATCAGATTCCAAATGTATTTCGCCGCCATCCATCCAAAAAAGAGATGTTCCACTGATTCCTTTTATGTATAAAAGGCATATATTTCACTTCCTTTCCAATTTCTTCTTGTGAGGTTGTCCTTCGTAATGATAGCATTTTGAAGAAGCCACAAATATTTTAATTTTCAGAGGGATTTTGGCTTGCCAAATATGTTTAAAGTTTTGACCCTGATCATTTTGACATAAATGTTTATACAATGATTTGTTATCTCCTTCTATTTCACGTGAGGGGGAGCTTCCATGTGATAGGTGTTAAATATAACTGAATTGAACACATTTCCTTATCAGCTTAGGCTTGTGAGTGCAATGGTTGGTGTATGTAGCTCAATAACTAAAACTGGTTTGAACAGTCTACAGTGACTAACTTTGACACTTGTTAAATGTGTTTGTTTTTTTACAAACCCCGACACTTGTTTTTCTACTAGAAAATGGGCAGTCAGGCAGTGAAACCGCTTCGGGTATTTCTGATGATGATGTGGATTTGGAGACGTCATCTAGTATGCCAGAGAGGATAGCAACCCTTCTTGATCTGTATTCTGGCTGTGGGGGCATGTCCACTGGTCTTTGATTGGGTGCAGCTCTTTCTGGCTTGAAACTTGAAACTGTAATCTTCTACCTAGTTATCTGTTGGATAGAATATGTTCATGATCTCAGCACTAATTCTGCTGTTCTGGCTATGATTGCAGCGATGGGCTGTTGACCTTAACAGTTTTGCGTGCCAAAGTTTAAAGTACAATCATCCACAGACTGAGGTATGAATAGTAAACTGCATCTTGGATTCCATCTGTTCTGTCCAGCTGCTCTCACAATGTTCCTTTGGATCTTTGAATGTAGGTGCGAAATGAGAAAGCTGATGAGTTTCTTGCTCTCCTTATGGAATGGGCAGTCCTATGTGAGAAATATGTCCATCAAGACGTGGATTTGAATTTAGCAGGTTCAGAGGATCAAGAGGATGAAGGCAGCCCTCTTGACAAGGACGAATTTGTTGTAGAGAAGCTTATTGGGATATGCTATGGTGGCAGTGGAAGGAAAAACGGCATCTATTTTAAGGTACTTAAGCGTTATCTGTTCATCTGTACTTGATTCCAAGAAAAGAAGTTCAATTACTATGGCAACATACAAAAAAACTAAGCTTTTCAAGCAATGGATATTTCTGTGTATTTTGTTGTAATGCTAGATTTCTGCAGGTCCAGTGGGAAGGATATGGTCCTGAAGAGGATACATGGGAGCCGATTGATAACCTGAGGTTAGTATTTGGTATGTCATCTGCTTGTTGCCTTGTACATCTATTTGCACTCTAATCCTTGTTCCACAAACCAGTGACTGCCCACTGAAAATTAGAGAATTTGTACGAGAAGGGCACAGAAGAAAAATTCTCCCGCTGCCTGTGAGTATTTAGTTGGGTGTGGTTTTCCTCTTTGTTTGTTTAGTTCCTCATTTTTTTGGGTGATATCTAACCAATCTATTCTTTCAAAAGGGTGATGTTGATGTCATTTGTGGAGGCCCACCATGTCAAGGTATCAGTGGGTTTAATCGGTTCAGAAACCGTGATGAGCCACTTAAAGATGAGAAAAACAAGCAAATGGTGACTTTCATGGATATTGTGGCGTACTTGAAGCCCAAGTATGTTCTCATGGAAAATGTTGTGGACATACTGAAATTTGCTGATGGCTACCTAGGAAAATTTGCTTTGAGCTGCCTAGTTGCTATGAAGTACCAAGCACGCCTTGGAATGATGGTAGCAGGCTGCTATGGTCTGCCACAGTTCAGGATGCGTGTGTTCCTCTGGGGTGCTCTTTCTTTGATGGTCTGTTTTGTACCTTGTTGTTTTATATGCTTTGCTAGATTTATGTTGCATTGTTGACTGCAGGCTAATCAGGTGTATTTGACAATTTAGGTGCTCCCTAAGTATCCTCTGCCTACATATGACGTTGTAGTACGTGGAGGAGCCCCTAATGCCTTTTCGGTAAGTGCACTCACTACTTTGAAATCCTTTGCAATGTGTAAAATTTATTGACCAACTGAATTTGTTTGCAGCAATGTATGGTTGCATATGATGAGACAAAAAAACCATCCCTGAAGAAAGCATTGCTTCTTGGTGATGCAATTTCAGATTTACCAAAGGCAAGTGTTTTGTCAAGTTCATACATTTCTCAATGTGCATGCAATCTTACTCTTCTCTGCAGGTTGAAAACCATCAACCTAACGATGTAATGGAGTATGGTGGTTCCCCCAAGACAGAATTCCAGCGCTACATTCGACTTGGTCGTAAAGGTAAAAGGCCCAGTGAACTTTACTGGTTGAGCTTCTCCATGAATTTTAGAAGAACCACCTTTTTTTCTTGGTCCTTGCTACTACTGCAGCAAGTTCACTCTGTTTTATTCTTTCAGACATGTTGGATTGGTCCTTTGGTGAGGAGGCTGGTCCAGATGAAGGCAAGCTCTTGGATCACCAGCCCTTACGGCTTAACAACGATGATTATGAGCGGGTTCAGCAAATTCCTGTCAAGAAGGTTGGTGGCTTGATAGCAGTTGTGCCTTCCTTTGTTGTTTCTCCTTCTGAAACAATCATCACTCTTTCCTATGACAGGGAGCCAACTTCCGTGACCTAAAGGGTGTCCATGGTTGGAGCAAACAATGTTGTTGAGTGGGATCCAGAAATCGAGCGTGTGAAACTTTCATCTGGAAAACCACTGGTATGTGTTATTTTGTGCTGTTGTTTCCATAACAGCTCAACATTTATGTTACATATTCAGACTCATAACTGATGAGGTGCTGCAACTACTGTAAGATTCATAGTTAAGACATGATAAGATTTTGCACAAATCTTTGTTATCTAGGTTCCTGACTATGCAATGTCATTCATCAAGGGCAAATCACTCAAGTAAGTTGCAAAATGGTCCTTTTTTAAAAAAATAAGTAGGTTATTGGTTACTTGTCCTTACATATGATGTTGTAGGCCATTTGGGCGCCTGTGGTGGGACGAGACAGTTCCTACAGTTGTAACCAGAGCAGAGCCTCACAACCAGGTCAGCTTCAGTACAAACTACCCCTTTATGCTAATCCCTGCAATTGTATTTAATGTTAGTGTTGTCCGCATATGATCCTGATTGAACATGTTGTCCACAGGCTATATTGCATCCGACTCAAGCAAGAGTCCTGACTGTCCGGGAGAACGCAAGGTTACAGGGCTTCCCTGATTACTACAGATTGTTTGGCCCGATCAAGGAGAAGTAAGTTCCTCTTGCCTGTACCTGATCTAGTCACTCTTGAAAGTTGTCAGCAGTAAGCTATTGATCAGTCAGTTACAGCTCTTGAAATCAGAAGCAGGATCATGCTGCATTGTAATCCTTGCCTCTGAACATGTGTACTTTCTCTGATGGCGATAGGTATATTCAAGTCGGGAACGCAGTAGCCGTCCCTGTTGCCCGGGCACTGGGCTACTGTCTGGGGCAAGCCTACCTGGGTGAATCTGAGGGGAGTCACCCTCTGTACCAGCTGCCTCCAAGTTTCACCGCTTTGGGGCAAACTGCGGTACAGGCGAGGGCCTCTTCTGTTGGCACTCCTGCAGGGAGGTGGTTGAGCAGTAAAAGGATACAGAGCTGAGCTGAGCAGGGCAACAACAGCCAACGGCAGGAGCATCTCTGGTTGGGTCCGATTCGGGCCCATCCAATAGCATGTTTACTAATATATAATCAGCGCATCGTGCTGATTCTTATGATTGGAGATGAATGTAGGGAGGGTGCACTCAGCTCGAGTGCTTGTTGTACTGTACTGTAGGGTGAGGTTTCAAAACATTCATTCATCGGCCGCCTATTTGTGGCCGATGTTTCTCGTGTCATTTCAGTTTAGCAATCTGCTGATTTGAGGCTTCATCATGTACGTGTATTCTACCATTCATTCTTGTTAATTGCAAGTAAGACAACATTGATCCTTGTTTAACGTGAGCATATTTTTGTCCACTGCTTGAGTAGGGACTGAACTCTCAGTGCTTTGGCCATCGAGTGATTGGGTGGTAGGGCTTCTAGGAGTGCTACCTAACGTTTTTTTTCCCGTCTATCTACTCTTCTACAACTAAAAATTACCTAAGTGAATTGTCCCCTTGCTTCATTGCGACAATATCCTGGCGCTCCCTCGCTCCTCCGCGCAAATATCCTGGCTCCAATCAATCGATCCGTCTTCCCCGTTCCTCGCTCCAGCACAAAAGGAAAGATCAATCCTCTCCTCCGCAGTCCTCGCCATTCGCCTCGCTCCCTCGCGATTCGTCCGCCGCCCGGCGCCCTCGACCTCACGAGCCCTCGCCGTCGGCCTCGCGCCGCCGCCAGCCATCACCCTTGCCCGCAAGCTCGCCCACTCGAGTCATTGGCGAATACGCGCTCTTTTGTCTCTCTTGTGGCGATGACTGGGCGACCGCATCGCCGCCGCATGCCGGGTCTTCGTCTGGCCATTCGCCGGCGATGAGCACCCAACAGGTATGTCCATCCCTTCTGTTCCCTTTATATCCTGTGCCAAACCTAGCAACCGAACATGACT